GGTTTAAAATTTATCCCAAAAAAAAACGTTTTGCTTCCATGCTTCAAAATAACACTAATTTTTTTGCACTTGGGGGTCGCTTTTAGGCGTTTTTTTTTTTTTTAAACCCCGCCCCAAAAAATTTTGGGTTTTTAAATTTTTAAAGCATTTAGATATTTTTGGTATATTTAAGCCTCTTTTTTTTTGCTGAATCTTTAAAAGAGGGGGTTCTTTCCCAGGCCTTCGGCGTTAAAATATCTTAGAAAGTTCTTTTTAGGCATAGGGAAAACATGGTACAATTTTTTTATACATAGTGTAAATTACCAGAATAAACCCAAAAAAAAAAAAGTGACACCCCAAATTTTTAGCAGGGGGCTTGAAAAAACGTTTTCCGATGATGTTCCCGGTTTTTTCCCCTTTCGGATTGGGCACTGAGGGGGTTTTGGGGGTAGCCCGCTTTGTTATAACCTTCCAGCGTTTATGTTCCTTTAAAAATTTTTGATGGTCAAAGGGTCCAGAAAGAGCCCCCTTTCCCCTTTATTTGGGTTCAAGGAGGGGGACAGAATTTAAAATGGCAGATTTCACATACAGCGGATTTAAATGCCTTAAATGTACGCCTTTTTAAGGGTTTAAGGGAAAAGGGCAAATCTATGCAATGCAAAGAACTCTAAAAAACCAGAAGAGAACAAACCTCCCCAAGTTGAAAATTTTCTACCGCTAAGTCAATTTAAAACTCCCCCCTCACAGGAAATCAAAGAATGACTCTTCCACAGGGGCTGCGGCTTCAATCATTTAAAAACGATTACCAACGCCAATGATCTTGAGGGAACCTGCCTGCCCGATGAAGTTTATTTGATAACCCAGCCCTTTTATGTTCTCTAAGAATTTTTTCGCCCCCTTTTGGGAGTACTTAATAACTTTTCTTTTTTTTCAAAAACTATGTTACAAAAATTTGTATATAAATATGGCGGGACACCACCTTGAAAAAGCCAAAAAGTGTCCCTTTTTTTACATAATTGTCTATCTATATAATCATCGCCTTGCCTTGTCGATGAAATCTTCGTTATGCAATCGCAAAAAAAAAACGCAATTGCAACTTGTATATCTATTACCGACTCAGAGTCATGCACCTATATATCTGTTATATCTGTGTGACTGTTGGGTAAGTGTTATACCCCTTCCAATAATTTTCTGTTATTATACACACACGCACTTTTAAATTGCACAAAAGTGGTTGAGCCACTTCCCTTTTATGTCCTACCTCGTTCCCCCTCCCATCCTTTTCTCATATTTCTATCCTTACCCATCCTTCTTCCTTACCCTTCTTACCGAAGCTCTGGTCGTAAGTTGAAGTTGAAGTCGACACAAAAATATTCAACCTATGAATATTTTCATTACCCTCACCTAATTTGTGGAGATAATTTTTTTCACAGAGATTTTGGAAAAATTTTCTGACCCCCTCGACGTAGTAGATGGTACTGACTCGATTTTTCCCATAATACCTGATTCCAAATATTTTTTTATGTGTGTGTGTGTGGTGTGTGTGTGTGTGTGTGTGTGTGTGTGTGTGTACTCACCTATTTGTACTCACCTATTTGTGGTTGCAGGGGTCGAGTCCTAGCTCCTGGCCCCGCCTCTTCACCGGTTGCTACTAGACCCTCTCTCTCCCCGCTCCATGAGCTTTATCAAACCTCGTCTTAAAACTGTGTATGGTTCCTGCCTCCACTACGTCATTTTCTAGGCTATTCCACTGCCTTACAACTCTATGACTGAAGAAATACTTCCTACTATCTCTCTGACTCATTTGTGTCTTCAACTTCCAATTGTGGCCTCTTGTTTCTGTGTCCCCTCCTGGAACATCCTGTCCTTGTCCACCTTGTCTATTCCACGCAGTATTTTATATGTCGTTATCATGTCTCCCCTGACCCTCCTGTCCTCCAGTGTCGTCAGGCCGATTTCCCTTAATCTTTCTTCATAGGACATTCCCCTTAGCTCTGGAACTAACCTTGTTGCAAACCTTTGTACTTTCTCTAGTTTCTTGACGTGCTTTATCAAGTGCGGGTTCCAAACAGGTGCTGCATACTCCAGTATGGGCCTGACATACACGGTGTACAGTGTCTTGAATGATTCCTTACTAAGGTGTCGGAATGCTGTTCTCAGGTTTGCCAGGCGCCCATATGCTGCAGCAGTTATCTGATTGATGTGTGCTTCCGGAGACATGCTCGGTGTTATACTCACCCCAAGATCTTTTCTCCTTGAGTGAGGTTTGCAGTCTTTGGCCACCTAGCCTATACTCTGTCTGTGGTCTTCTGTGCCCTTCCCCTATCTTCATGACTTTGCATTTGGCAGGATTAAATTCGAGAAGCCATTTGCTGGACCAGGTGTCCAGTCTGTCCAGGTCTCTTTGAAGTCCTGCCTGGTCCTCATCAGATTTAATTCTCCTCATTAACTTCACATCATCTGCAAACAGGGACACTTCTGAGTCTAACCCTTCCGTCATGTCGTTCACATATACCAAAAATAGCACTGGTCCTAGGACCGACCCCTGTGGGACCCCGCTCGTCACAGGTGCCCACTGTGTGTGTGTGTATGTGTGTGTGTGCGTGTGTGGGTGTGTGTGTGTGCGTGTGGGTGTGTGTGTGTGTGTGTGTGTGTGGTGTGTGTGTGTGTGTGTGTGTGTGTGTGTGTGTGTGTGTGTGTGTGTGCGTGTGTGGGTGTGTGTGTGCGTGTGTGGGTGTGTGAGGGTGTGTGTGTGGGTGTGTGTGAGGGTGTGTGTGTGGGTGTGTGTGAGGGTGTGTGTGTGGGTGTTGGTGTGTGTGTGTGTGTGTGTGGGTGTGGGTGTGTGTGTGCACATGTCCGTGCGTGCGCCCTGGTGTGTGTATGTGTGTGCGCGCGCGCGCTAGTGTGGGTGTATGAACCACTTAATATTTGTATTTATAACTCATTACAATTGTGACCAGGTGTGGACGTATCAGTGGTTCATTACTTTGTAATTTGCTCATGACTGTAACCATGTATAGGAGTGAAGCTGATTCATTACCTCTGTAACTTGCCATGATTGTGACCAGATCTACCTGGAGTTCATTACCTTTGTAACTAGTTCAGCTATCATAACTTTGGGGTCCAGTCACTGGACCCATTATGTACCTTTGTAATCTTTTGACTACCGCCCACAGGATGGGTATGGGGTGCATAATAAAGATATTAAACTAAATTGTGTGTGTGTGTGTGTGTGTGTGTGTGTGTGTGTGTGTGTGTGTGTGCGTGTGTGTGTACTCACCTATTTGTGGTTGCGTGCGTGTGTGTGTGTGTGTGTGTGTGTGTGTGTGTGTGTGTGTGTGTGTGTGTGTGTGTGTGTGTGTGTGTGTGTGTGTGTGTGTGTGTGTGACTCAACAATCAATATTTGCACCAATAACTCATTACAGTTGTGACCGGGTGTGGAAGTGTGAATTGCTCATTACACTATAATTTGTTCATGATTGTAGCCATGTATAAACGTAAGTAACCATTCTACAGAATTCATTACCTTTGTAACTTGTGAGCTCATTACCTTTGTACCTAGTTCAGCTATCAAAACTTTGGAGCCCAGTCCCTGGACCCATTACGTACCTCTGTAATCTGTAAATACCTTTGTAACTTGTCATGATTGTGACCAGACCTACCTGGAGTTCATTACCTTTGTAAATTGTGAGTTCATTACCTTTGTAAATTGTGAGTTCATTACCTTTCTAAATTGTGAGTTCATTACCTCTGTAACTTGCTCAGCTATCAAAACTTTGGAGTCCAGTCCCTGGACCAATTATGTACCTCTGTAATCTTTTGACTACCGCCCACAGGATGGGTATGGGGTGCATAATAAACATATTAAACTAAACTAACTGCGTAGGCATCGTTGATGCGCAATGACGAGCAAGATGTCTTACAGAGGTTTCGATAACCATCCTCTTGTGTGAAGCAACTAGATGGATAAAATCCTGGTCAGTATTTCATTTAAAGTATTTATGGGCGACATACTTGTGGGGAAGAAACGAATGTGGACTTCGTGGTTATATAAAAAAGTTACAGACTTGGTCCCCATTAAGGTTAAATTGTCCACCCACAGTAAAGTAATGAATAGTATTTAAGAGTTAATATATATGCAGGTCTGAGGTCGCTACCACAAACCAACTGAGAAATGAAACTATATCTCGCTTGTTTGGTTGGATATTTGTGGTCCAACCGTTTTGACACTGGTAGGGATATAATTACGCTGAAAATGAACTTAAACTTAAAACTTCGTTTTAGCGACCCATGAGGGCTAAAGAGCCAGGGTAGCTCGAAAACGCCAAGCAGTGTGGCTTATTCCCATTGGTTTTTTGTTTTTAGGTTTCCACGGAATGCGACCCACAAGAATACTAACTCTCAAATACAGTACTTATTTACTGCTAGGTAACACGCTAACGAAATGGTTATCGGTAAGCCAGTGGCAGGCCTCGGTCAGATGACCAAAAGTTTCAACGGCGGGTCATCATCTGACAAAGACCAGCATCAGGAAACTCTTGTCCTGTTTCCTGACAAACCTTTCCTAACCAGCTAGGTAACAGAGGCAGCAGGTATTGACACCCGTATGTTTCTCCCTGACTAGGATTCGACCCGGCTCCTCTCTTCCCTCACTGCAGTAGACATGACCCATGAATGGGTTAATTAGTAAAGACTTCCCCAGTCTCTGCATCACCAGAATACCTAAGTCATAAACAAAATTACTGGCTGAAACTGCACACTGTCATGCCGTTTTTAATGAATAAGTCTTACCGGGTAAGACTTTTCATTCAAGTACTGCTTCCCTGCATCTACTGACAAGCTGTTGCCAGTAGATGTATAAATATTTTGGTAATAATTGTGGGTTAGTGGAGCGAACTGCCAAGCAGTATCATTGAAACAAATAATTTTAAGGTAAATTTAGGTTGAATGTGAGCTGAACCAGCATCGTATTAGCCAGTAAATCTATCTCAGTGTAGGTAGAGCAATGATGTATTCATCCTTGTGATCTAGGTCATGCCTTTTTTCCACAGGCCCGCCAGAGCTCAGTCAAGATCCAGTTGAAGTCGAGCAGTCTACTCAAGAATTCTTCTAACAACTCTGATACAAAGTTAGTGCATGTCGTTAGTACATTGTTCTAATGAACTTCATAGGCTTGTGCCAAAATACTTTAATCCCTTGATTACTTCTCTTGACCTGGACTGTTTGCTTGGCAATGTCGAGACGACCTCAGATAGCCTCAGTTTTATTGACGTGGCCTGTGTTAATCTAACTTCGTATTTTGTTGATATGATCTGTTGATATGAAACTGACTTTAAGTTAGACGGTAAGATTGAAGACAGTTACATAGTTTTATTATGTACGCTATACCCATCCAAAAAAAGATTACAGAGGCACATAAGGCATGTTGACTTTTGCTAATCTTTAAGTATATTCATCTCCCACTTATGTTAAGATGATCTCTTGACCTTCTTGTTACTGCCCATCAGGACAGTTCGCCCACGGGAAGGCCTGAGGTCGCGTGATATCCGCATCGCCAGAACAATTGGGGTCATTTTCCTGGCCTTCCTAATCTGCTGCTCTCCAGTCTCGATCGTCCACTACCTCGATAATAAGGTACATATTTAACCTGCTCTGTTCTATCCCAATCCTTCAAGTGGAGTGCCTTCGTGCTGGTGAAAGGTCTTGACCCAAAGAATTGAACTTTATTTATGACCCCCACGGGTTTAGCGCTTATTCTCCACTAATATATAAAATAATATATCTCAATCCTGACCCACTGTCTCGAAATAAGATACTTTTTTTATCCTCTTATATTGTATCTCTGGGAAGATGAACCCGTAGGGGTCATAACAATGCCAGGGAAATGGGTAATGAGAGGCAGTCAGATTCGATCCAAGGAAGGATAGAGTAAGTTCAGTTCCTTAGATCAAGAGCCCTTCACCAATATCATGGTATCTTGAAGAGTATCGCTTAGCGGATTAAAGTAAATTACAGCCTTAATGAGTACATGCACATGGTATACAGGCCTAGCTGACATCAGTGACACACTACTATGTAGAAAGCCCCTGGTTATGCAGAGCATTTCGGGCAAATTAGGTCAATTTTGTTCCCAGGATGCGACCCCACACCAGTTGACTAACACCAAATACCAATTTACCGATAGGTGGAGGTGGACAGCAGGTGTCTTAAGAAAACACGTCCTAATGTTACCACACGTAGCGGGGATCGACCCCCCAGACCTCAGTGTGTGAGCTGAATGCGCTAGCGATCGAGGTACTGGACACCTCAATAATGCGTGCCAACTCTTAACCTAGTGTTGTAATATCCATGTACTATTTAAAAATGTTATTATTATTACTATTATTATTAATTATTACTATATGTTGACTTCGTAGTACCATATGCCAACTCTGTTGCTGCTGCTACACCCGCTCTACTGGGCCCAGTACTGCATCAACATTGTCATCTACGTCTTTATGAACAGACAGTACCGTGACGCCTACGTGAACTACATAGCTAGATGGTGGCCCAACTTTAAGGAGGTAAGGTCTACGTTATTTTTCTTTATTTTGGCTATTATAGTATTTTGGATAGAATTTTTTTTTTTTTTTTAGTTTTGGATAATATTATTGATTTGATGTTAATGTTATTGATATTATTCTATGAAAAATAACTAGATAACACGTAAAAAAATAAACTTCAGGAAACACAGTCCTAATTTTGTTTGGTACTGAAATACGTACTTTAAACTTTCATAGGTATTCAATTGTTTGTGAATAATTTGTTTTATTTAGGTTCAGCCACTTGCTATTTCTAGCATAAAATTATGAAAATAATATGGACAAAATCTGCTTTACCAAGGGTGCATGCTCTTGTAATTTCCACACGTAGGGACCTTAATATTAATGCATATAACATGTGGGCATAACGCTGATTATAACTTTATAAGAGATCAGACCTGTACTATATATAACAATTGACTTATAGATTGTATAGAAACTGTTTATATGGACTAGATTCAAAAAAATAATAATTCCCTTAGACTCACTATATGGTCACGCCCTTATATTATAACCACGTAGACATTCTGATCGAGACATGAACTCGCAGTCTGCGTTCCACAGTTCAAGGCCAATTTCCTTCAAGGGTTTGTTTTTTCCTTTTTTTTTTTTACAGTACTGACTTAGCAACTTCTAGACTGCTAACAAAGTCATTGGTAATCAACAAATTGTTTTCAAACCACAATTGTGATTAGGTGGTGAACAAAGGAGACACACGTCGACATCTCTTGGAACGACTCCCAACACCTCTGTGAGAACTGTCAGGTCCTGCTACCCTCCTTAACTAAAAACATTTAGAATTCACTTTAAACATCTGTAACACCCCGATGTTCTCACTCAAGTTGTTCTCTTGGCTGTACTTTCTGATAGAAACAGACTTACTGCACCAACCATAACTCCTTTCACGCTTTTATGAGCTTTCCATGCCTATGAAGGTACCTCCTAATGTAACCTCCCCTTGCAGTAAAACACTGGCTTACCACTTTTTCGTGAATATAGTAATAATTCGCTCTATAGAGTGCTCCCCCATGAATATAATAATTATATTTATGGAGAAGCGCTAATGCAGTAACTCACAAACCATAACAAATTGAGACTGATGCTTGATTGTTTTAAAGCTCTTTTTGCCTACCGTAATATACCTCCTGCTGGCTCTAGAATATTTGATTACCGAAAATTTTCCCATGTACCCAGTCCGTGCGACAAATAGGACATACATGAAACATCCGTTGTGTGCTGTAACCTGTCAGTTTTAAATAGTATTTTTTTACGAATGCTTGTGGTAAATAATGTTGACTAATAGTGAGCAGTGTTCATAAAATAAATTAATGTTTACTAAATATTTACACGTATTTTTGTATATCCCAGGTATCGCGCACGAAATTCCATTGGAAAGAGGAGGCTACAAGTGACAACAGCCGTAGGCAGTCCCGGGCAGCCACGCCAAGTGCCGGTTCTAAGTTTAGCGTTCGCAAGTTTTCTAAGGGATCCTTGGTTAAGAGCAATAACATGGAAGCTCCTGGAACCCCACAGGTATTGGCCAAGAGTGGAACTCCAAACCTATCTGATACCCGTCTTTAAAAGGACCAGCAGGTTTACCTGTAGATGGCTGGAGGGATCATCGCCCCACATGGGCTGTTCTCTTACCAGGCCTCTTGGTTGAAGGCCTGATCAGTCAAGATACTGGTGCTAACTGCACTCAGTCCAACGTAGACAGCACAGCCCGGCTAATCAGGAACTACCATAAGTCTTAAAGTCCCAGCAATGGTACTCATACTCATTCTATCTGTAAGTCACTAGTGGTGATATCTCCAAAACAGCTGTTTTCCTGTCGTGACCTATGAGCCGTATTTTTATCAAGCAAGTTTTATTGTAGGTTGAAAACCTATTTAAAATGTTTTTATTAATTCATAACATATAAACCTGGCCTTATTACATTCATGTAACATGAAGAATATATAGTAAACACAGTAAGGATATACTTATACCTACTCTATATATGAGTAGTGAAATTGCAGGATTTTTAGTCATGACAGTATCCTTTAGTGTCACAGGTTGACTCATCCAAGTGTATTACAGTATATGTTAACATTTTTACTGCTAATATTAACAACTAATTTGAAATATTTGTATAAGGCTTAGCATTCTATCATGATGGAGTTGAAAGAAATAAAGAAAAACTTGCCTTAATATAATTAAGTGGGAATCTCGAGGGATTCTTATAAGAGTAAGGACATACCAGTGCTCTGCGAGCACTACAACAGCCACAACTGCTGCCTACACATAGTGTGTCAGAACACCACAAGCTCTACAAGCACTACGACAGCCACAAGACTGTAGGAGTCTATTGTGCTGTAGGTTTCTACTTTTTCAATGCTGATGTTAATTTTTTTAAGGGGTTATTGACGCTGTCTAGTATGCACTTTAAACTTGTGAGCGGTGATCATTTTCATTTGAATAAACTCAAGGACCCCTAGCTTTGTCGCAGTTTGAAAATGTATTGTGCCTGACCTATTACTAGTAACACCTCACCAGTATTGGTGGTAATTTCATTTGTGTAACTGTTAGTTAGGTATCCTGGAAGAGATACCCTTTAAGTGGCTGACTTTTTTTTTTTTCTGCCTCCAAGGTTTTCCTTGACTGTATATGTTGAAAACATTTTACCCGATCAGCTTCCAGTTTTCAACTCTGGTGTACTGTAACTCTGGTCAGTTTTGTATAGACCATTTCCTATACTGACTTCCAAGCGATAACTTGTGAAAGCGTCCTCACACCAGTTTTAAACTCATCGCTGGTATATCCTACTAGGAAGAAAGCTGTAACTTTTATTAGAGTGGGTAGATTACAGTTTTATTTATGTAACGTAGTATTTTTTCGTGAAATATCTTGTATATGTCTCTTTAGAAGAATTTCGATCTTTAATAGCTGATGCATCTTATGAACAGGGCGCTGCCTTATATATTTAGTCTCTCTAGATGCTCTGGGTGATATCGGGTTGTGGTCAGACTAGGGTTCGCATTGATGCTGGGCGGTGTAAGAATCAGTTTGCCAAGCTTGATCAACAAATTAGTTTCCTTGTTATAACTGCATAATGCTACTGCTGATGTATCTTACTTAGAGGAAGCCTTGAATTGGACTAGACATTTTGGGACTATACTGTGTAGATGCAAATTGGTGATTTAAACTTTGAGTTGTCGGGTTGTGTGCGATGATTGAAGAATGCATATTCTGGTCAGCTTCAGACTATTAATGCCAATGTATCATTCTCAAAGGAATCTTTGCACAGATTTTAGTTGTCTAAGTTCTAATTATCCAATGTTATTAAACTGGTTTCTGTGCAATAATTGCAGTGCTTCTTCTGATCGACTTCAAACCTTAAACACTAGTTAGTGTATCTTAGAGCAATGTTTGGATTGATTTCGGGTTGTGTGCTAATTTTATTTGAGAAGTTGAGAAAACTCAAATAATAGTTTTCATGTGATATTTATGAATGCCTCATCTATGGCTTTCAAAATGCTGATAACTAAAGAATGCCACTTTCGAGTAACTTTCAAACTTAAACCGGACTGGTGATTTTGGGTATATTGTCTGTGAAAGCTAAGTAATGTCTGATTCCTGATTAGCTTAAATTTCAAAGCTGGTTTTATCATAGTAGATTACGAATTATATCAATCTGTGTGAGCGAACAAATTTGACATTATTATTTGAAGAAGTGGGATATTGCTTCCATGAGCTAACCTTGGTAAAAACTTTGGCCACATTACTATTCCAGTTTGCGTGAAATTGGAAAGGGTGTCTGGGCTTACGACGATACATTGCTTGGGTTAGCGCAGCGAGGATACAATGTAGTTGATAATGACTGTTTTAGATATATGCTGAACTTTGCAATCTCAATGCCTAATTGCATTAAAGCACTACCATGATTTCGTGTCATTTTAAAAATTTGAAGCTTATAAACTTGACCAGTACTGCGTGTCCCATCAATAATAAATAACATAATGCCAGTTTACAATAATGTATGTAATCTAGATTTAATATATACTGTTTTCCTAAGATCTATCGTTATATGCGCGAACGAGCTTGAGAGTAGCTCTAAAGTAAATTTATTATTTGTAATAGTGAGAAAAAGTAGTCAGTAATTGTAAAATAATACACTTTCCATAGGGTTTTACAGCACTTTTCTAAATAGGTCGGTTTGAGCTATGTTATGTTGGCTTATCACGTTAGGATAGGTAACAGCGGAAAAACTATAACTGTAATATATAAGACAAAAATAATCTCCACGCAAGCAGTAAAACGGGCAAGCCACTGCCACCCTATTAACTGTTTTTTAACACATGCTGTGTTTGTGGTTAAGGATAACGGGCTTATATAATATATCTATATATATATATATAATATATATATATATAATATTATAAAGTTATATAATATATATTAATATGTTTATATATATATATATATATATATATATATATATATATATATATATATATAAATTTATATATAATATATGATATAAATATTTAATATAAATAAATATATAATATATATATAATTATATATATAAAATATATAGTATATATAATTAAATCTATATATAAAATAATATATATATATATATATATATATATATATATAATATATATATATATATATATATATATATATATAAATTATATATATATATATTAATAATATATATATTATAATATATATATATATATATATATATATATATATATATATATATATATATATATATAATATCACAAATATCTTTAGAATATATATAAGAAATGTATGGTCATGAACCAGCGCTGTATGACCCTTATGGGTTTAGCGCTTAGTTATTATAATAATATGGCATGAACTTATAAGAAAAGTAACATGAACAGTGTTTCAACTAATGACGGTAATTCTGGATTGGCATTTGGGACCATGGAAGTGCTGTAATTGTTGCCTTAGGTGAGCTGTTAGTAGTTTCTGTTAAATAAAAATTAATCAGGGGAGGTTCTTTGAGGTCTGCGAGAGGCTCTTGATCCAAGGAACTGAAGTTGTCATTCCATTGGATCCATCCTGAGTGCCTCTCATTCTCCCAGACTGTATGACCCTTAAGGGGCACGTAAGTTTTCTAATGTTATTTTTTCCCGAATAATCTACCTTGTCTATAATTACTATCGCAATTGCTTTGTCTGCTTTCGTAAGGTGAAGTCCAGGATCTTTCCTTATTTCATGGTATAACTTAACAAATCTTTGAGGACAATTGTGTTGTAGAGGTCTAAGCTTCGCTCATTAAGTTTTAACCATGAATTAATTAAGGAAAGATCCTGGATTTCAACTTACGAAATCAGACAAAGCAAATCGATAGTAATTATGGACAAGGTAGATTATAGTGGAAAAATAAACATAATAACAGGAAAGGGAAAACTCACGCGCCTCTGAAGGTTTTTAGTGCTCTCCCTGTGAATATCATAAAAATTCAAGAAAACTTGTGTATTATTCCCATATTTTACTGTAAGTAATAATATATTTCACTGGAGCACTTGACAACCCAGTTTGTATATAAAGATATGTAATAGATTACAACATGTAACACTGAATGAATTACATTGCTTCATGAATATAACAAAATCTAGTAATGTTGTCTACCACACCCCACTAAACCATTCATGAGAGGTTCTTGACTTTTGATGAAGGGCTCTTGATACAGGGAATTGGAACTACCCTCCATTTCCTTGGATCAATTTGATTACCTTTTTATTTCCCATTCAACGACTGTTTGTATACCTCTACGGTTCAGCGCTTCCACATAAAAAATACACCCCATGCCTCACGAAATCGTAATGACACGATTGCAAACAAACCATACCACGGGCGGGAATAGAACCCACGATCAGTCTCAAAAACTCCAACCGTTCGCTTTAGCCACTGGACCAGCTAGCCACTATAAAATTCGTCCAACTAGGTATATTTCACACCATAGGAAGGTTAACATAGGCACCACTGTGACCACAAATGCAAGTTTTTTACACCCCATTAAAGAAAATGCTCGCAACCAAGAAATGGTCCTAATATCACGTTGTGACTTTTTTATAGGATTTTGGGGACTTTTTTAATTAAGAAAAATGACTGGAAAGCTACACTGCACTTTTATTTTTTTATGCTGTATTGCCACTCAGATTTTCTATGGTCTGCCCGGTTTGTTGCAAGTCCGACACCATCTAAGGTTCAGCATCCTTCCCAGAATGCCACCAACAACATCGACAATGTCCAGGTACCTATTTACTGCTAGGTGACGCCCCTCAAGATACACTGATGCAGGTGAGGGGCTCTTGATCCAAGGGAAATTTGGGGACCGGCTTCCCTCTGGATCAAAGCCTCTCCCCACGGATGTAGGAATGCAGGTGACCAGGGGAAACAGGGGGAAGGATATGTGCCCACGTCTCCAGGCTCGAACCAGGGTACTTTGTTTTTGAACTAAAGGCGCTACAGCTTCTGGAGCTACACAAAGAAAGTCATTTTTTTTTTAATTTGTTTAAGCCATTAGAACGCAGGGGACCAAGGTCCCAAAAGGGTTCAAAGTGTCATAAAAATGTATACCCAAACGTAAAAAATGTTATCATGAAAACTAAAAACACGAAGATGTCTTCATTGGCTGAAGCAAGAAAAGATAGTTATAAAATTAAATATAGAGATTAGATAAAAGATTTTTTAGAACAACATTCAAACTAACTTAGTTCTCTTCCAGGGGCCCTCGAGGAGGTTTCCAGATACCTACTAGTAATGGGCTCTTGAATCCAAGGATTTGTATCTTCCCTTTGAATCAAAAACCTTTGTCTCCCATTCCACACCCCTCAAGGAAGGTGATTTAGTGAGGGGCTTCTTGATCTGGGGAAATTTGAATCTGCTTCATTCCCTAATTGTGCCGGAATACTTTCCGCCCTCCCCCATAGGCGCTGTATAATCCAATACGGTTTAGCGCTCCCCATGATAATCCCTCCTACATTCTACGGCATGATAATTCCCGTGCGCAGAGGCGTCTAAGGGGGACGAGGGGGGCGGCCACCCCGTGACACCAAAGCCTCTAAAAAGACGGTGACTCAAATGCACAAAACCAGTGCTGCACCCAACATAAGAGAAAACCTTCTTTCTATATACCTTAAATAGATTACTAGGGGACAATAAGCCTAAAATAGGGAAAATCTTGAATTTGATGATTGAAAGAGGATTTTGCATACCTGAAGCAAAAAAATTTAAATCAGATTCACTGATTTATTACCTTACCAAGTCAAATCGGAACAATTGTTTTCTCTGAAAATTGCAATGTTTTCTTTATTTTTCAATTTTTTTTTTTGTTTTTGCTTTGTTGAAGATGAATAAATGTAAAAATCTTTTTGCTGTAACTCAAAGTGGTGTTTTGAGTTTTATATTTCCTCAATATTACTAAGATTATTTATTTTATCATTAATAAAGTT